ATCAGTTTTCGGAATTACGGATATTTGAGTTTACGTTTAGTTGGAATATCGGTACATTTCTTATAGTACACGCTTATTTTCACATTTGTAGTATTATTGGTATGTATGTATCTGCCCAACTCTTTATTATTTCTCTAAGTGAATTTGTTCAAAATTCGACATAATAATATACATAAAAATTAACTAATATTTAGGATAAAGGCTACTCCATTACTCTTGTGTTCAAGTTATTTGCAGTCGAAGCTAAATAAGGTGCATTTTGTTAAGTTTCCAGTAGAAGCTGAATATGGTGTTTTCGGGCCCTTAAATTGTTGCAAACAAAATTAGGCAGTACTGCAATGATGTTACAATTTAAATTAAATGTTTTAGTTTTTTATATTTCGTTACATGTCACTACGTTGTATAGGTTAACTTCGGACATTTTTTTCGTGGTTTTTGTATTAGACCCGACGTCCATTTGTTGGTAGGTCAACGCTGCCAATACATAGGGCGCACTATAAGTTTCCGGAACTGGCCACTTACATAAACAATATTTAAAAAGTAATTACAACATTTGAAAATGGAACGCTTTGGCTGTAGAATACAGTTTGTTTCATCCGACTGTCACTTGTTTTTACATTGTGGCGTCATTTTCGAAATTGATCGTCCACATCACCATGGATTTAACTCGTGAAAATTTTCATTGTATGATTTTCTACGATATTGTTTTGGGAAACCCTTTACAGAAACTAGCCAAAAAGATTTATACTTACGAAACCTATTGCATCAAATCTAAAAATGCCCCTAACTGACCACGCAATATGAGATTCCCTATGAGGCATAAATGAGGATAAACACAATGTAGTACAGTGTAAAGGCCTTGTTAAAAATTAGGAAAAACATTTTTATTGAAGTAATTATGTCAAAAGTAATTTAAAACAATGTACGTTACATAGTATTGGCATATTTTGTTATAATATTCACGTATGTGCATTACGTTGTGTGAATAAAAATAAATTATCCTGGTAAACGCTGAAAGCTCATTCATTTTCCTCATTATCGGATTGCAGAATGATTTCGTCTGTTGCTAGCGTGATATCAGCAGCTGCAATACTAATGTCTTCTGATGGGTAATGCTGGTAACGAACATTTTCCGTGGTCACTCAAGAACGTTATCAGGTATAGGTAGAGATTTTTTATGTTTGTGACGTGTACTAAGTCCAAGAAATAAGGATAATAAGGATCAGACGAATCCAGTGCACGGTGAAACAAGTCTGTGGTGGTTTCAGAACCGAATTTGTTTGCATTTCCTAGCTAGGTCGACACCCTCCTGTAGGTTTAGGTTAGTATATACGTAGTAGTAATTGCCGGTGGCGCGATCACAACGGAGTTGCTGTATAAAGTTAGTTAAATTAAAGAAAAAAAAAGAGAATTTAGGTAATAAGGCTGAAGGCCATGACGTTTACTTATTGAATTAATATAATATAAAACTAAATAAACCAAAGAAAACAACGTCTGGAGAATGTACAACTAAATTTGATCGATAAAATTTGCAATTTTAGCATGATGTAATCTTTAAAATTTTTCAAAGCAGATGGTACTATGGTTCAAATGTATGTTGTTCATATATATAATCGTAGAAAAAGCTGCAACAATGACTAGTAGTACAACTTGGTACAATACAAAACGTGAAATGAGCAAATATAAGCGTTACAAGTGTTTTGTAACGCTTACGCTTACTTGTACGCTTGAATGACACCATTCAACTTACCCAATGCGGGAACGTTCACTTTCACAATTATTTAGAACGTTAAATGTAAACGGGAAACAAATAATACTGATTTGTACTAAAGGTGCTGCACTGTTGAAATACATAACGGTCTTTTTTATTGTGAGCGCGGCCAAGCCGAGGGTGGACTGGCTCCGAAGACGTTTTGATGCTGTCCCAGAGCTCGGGCCGCCGCCGGTACGTATTTTACTGCTTCTCTTCTCCCTGCGTCTCCGATTTCCTATTGAAAATGCCACGTAGGCTACCATAGATTTAACCAATTTATCTGTGGTAAATCATGGTCTTAATTCTTTATGTAAAGGAGGGAGGTTCTCTGTACCGTGGGATGTGGTTACCTTCATTTCACATATTTTTCATAAGCAAACGCATACAGATTATGTCAACAAAAATTTATATGGGAATTTGCCATTGACGTTTATTTTTAATTTTTTTTCCTGAAAACCCCCCAAGGAATTCATCCCCTCAAAATTCCCTCCGGGAGTAAAAGCTACCCTTAAGTAATAATAAAAAATACCTAAATATAGTATGCAGGGAACCTCCCCTCTGGCAGAACTACTGAGTAGTTAGTTGTTTTAAGAACAAGATAGTAAAAAAAGGAGAGCGCATAATGGATGTGGTGTGTGATTTCATTAGTTATCAAAATTATCATTAGTACTCAGTCGCATGCACCGATCTTAATAATAAAATAATTCTTTACTTATAAACGGTAAGGTAACCGCGTACATGCATGAAGTGCGGGGAATCCCTTCTACTTTCATTCAAAATTAATAAAAAGAAAAAGGTGTTCCCCGCACAAATGACTTTGATTTAACTGTTACGCTTAGATTTTTGTTGCGTCCGAAATATCCGGATACGCAAAGATGTCGTTTCAGGATAACATAATTGCCGGATATTCGGATATTTCGGATATCCGGGTATCCGGATAGCAAACGTAGGGTTTGCAAATCACAAATCTTTCACGTAAAAGTATCCCATGGCGAACGCTGTCAACTTTTTCCTTGAAGGAAATGTAGAAGATAGTCTGTACTGTGCCACCAGGCAAAACGGCTTATACTATTGATCAGTATTATAGCAGTCTAACTAATCCCATAACTTCTTTACGCGCTAATAATGATTTTGGGTTACGGGTCAAGTTGCCATCAACTGATCTGTCTGAAATACGAACTTATATCGACCCTGGAAAGGTAAAAGAGCTAACGTGCATTTGGACAATTTTACAGGAGAGCGATTTAAAGTTTTTTTTTAAGAAAAAAAGTTTAACTCTGATTTTATTTGCTTTATGCAAAAGTTGATTACTAGAAACTTTCAGCTGAATTGATGAGGCCTAGAAAATGCTTAAATTTGTTAATACTCGAATAAACGCCACGTTAGACAACTGGGTTTTATATCAGCCCGAAAAACGGTGACCTATCACAAGCTAGAAACATGATTTACAGAATTCTGATTCTCCGAAAAGCTTTTGATTTTTATTGAATAGATTTTGTTTCATTTGTCGGAAAACACGTTACGGCTTTTTTTTTCATTACAATTCAATATTTTGACATATTGACAAGTTATTCTTTTCCCGATTTTTTATTTCCCCAACAAAACCGTTTGATCAATGTATCTAATTGAATATTTTTATTATGTAAAAAATCGATATCCATGATACATTTTTGTTATATTATTTCGTATTACAGGTACTAAAAGTATTAGAACGTGTCGCACAATATAACTCGTCAAATTAAAGCACCTCGCATCTTAACAATAAAAGTTTACGAGATGCAAGTTCTTTTTGATCCAGTTGTAGTCGGTCGCTTCGCTCGTTCGGATTGTGCTGCTTTTCCATATACTAACCTAAACCTACAGGAGGGGGTTGTACCGTCTAGGTAATGCAAACAAATTCGGTTATGACACCCGCTGGCCGCTGCCGCGGCACGATCGCTTCGCTCGCTCGTATGGCGGTAAAATTTTATCTTGTATGGCGGTATAATTTTATCTAAGAATTTAATTTTGTCGAAACGAATTTTCAGCAATCTAAATTATATGGAAAATAGATAGTATAACAAACATGATTGGACCAAAAAAGTTCTGCCCAAAGAAAAGGTTTTTGGACAAACGATACTTCTGCTGTAAGACATTTCTGTGTAGCAAATTTACAGCAATTATTTATAGATTATTTATAGAAATTCGAGTTTGTGATATTTGAATTTACTACGTAGGTGGTCCCCTAATTCTCTTTAGCCGTCTGTGGCTTCAGAATGGAAGGAAAAAGGCCTTTAGTACCAGCTGGTTGTCCGTTGCAGGAGTCACCTTTGGGTTATTAGTAGGTACTACGAGTTGAATGTTACCCGGAATTACGCTGGAAGTTAAATTACATCCGGACTTGGACGAAGTATTCCCGCCATTTCGCTGCGCGGCTATCAACTGCTCCTCGTCTTGCGGCGATTATACAGGAGAATACTATACTCGGAAGCGGAAAACCAAAAATCTAAAGGCACGTTACCATGACCCGTATTAAATAATTTATGTACCCCTTTCTTTTTAAATTCCTTTTTAAATCGAGTTCTTAGGTTTTCGCGATTGTTACACATAGGAAATGAAACTATTTTTCCGGATTTAAATCGCGTAAAACAAATATACGCGATTTAAATCCGGAAAAATAGCTTCATTTCCTTTTTAAAATTTAAATTGTAAATTATTGTTAATTTATTTTATAATTATTTCAATTTTCTAATTTCTTAGTTTAATTTTCTACCCTCTTAGGGAAAATTAGAACTAGGGAATCGAACCCGGTACATAAGGCTCTTCAATGAATTGTAGAATTGAATATAGTCACTATTATTTTATTAGTGTAACTAAGTTTCTGGACACTTGGTTGGTGGCCACTTCGATTTAAATTCCTTCAAAAAATCGACTGACTCATTTGTTTGTTATTTGGACTTTTTGACATGCATTTCTTGTGGTGAATCATTTAATGAACATTTTTTATATTATTTATTAGAATACTACTTGTAACAAAATCATAACAGATAACTGATGAGGTATTTAAAACGAAAGCAAACAATATTATACAACTTATTCTTTTGCATACTACAATAAGATGCGATATTCTCCGTCAAATGATTGTTCATTTGACGGAGAACATCGCATCCAGGATTTTCTTTTTTTTATTTAGATTTTCTTTACAAATTTTCTTCCCAGCAGTTATAATGTGGAGTTCACGTTATTTCGCTGTTGTTCTCGCCCAATTTCATTGGGTACTCCGGCCCAGGACTTCTGCTTCAGCTAGAGTGTCAGGCATTTTGGTACCAAGGGTCTCCGGTTGCGTCAGCACCAACAGTCCTGATAAGATCCCCATAACACCGAACATCGCTGACGGGATGCCCTCCCAGTACATCATCTAAAGGGCGGAGTAAAAATAAGTATTTATAACACGCATAAAATCATTGTATTCCATGTTTCTGTTTGTGACTTTGCGATGTCTGCGACTTACGGCACGACGTGTCAAGCTAATTCATTAGTCATATGTAGTCAGTCTTACAAGAGCAGGTGTGAGCGGCGCGGTGACGGATCCGATGCGGCCCACCATTGAGGAGAAAGCCAGGAGCGTGTGGCGATACTCGGTAGGGTACAGCTCTGACGTAAACAGGTACAGGGAGGTGAACACCATCGAGATACCAAATTTTCCTAGCAGGAATATTACAGTCGCCAGAATGTTTAATTCTGAAAAAAATACAACGGCAATAAAGTTGATCTTCTACCGTAATAAAATGGCTAACATAATAAATTATTTTAAATAATTGAAATACTGACCTTCAGGAATGAATATAAAACCGATATTACAAGCGGCGCTGAGGAAGAAGCCGCATGTCAAAGTAGGCTTTCTACCGATGCTGTCCAGGAACAGCAAAGAGGTGTAGAAACCGGGGATCTCGACGGCGCAGGTCAAGATGTAGTTGAGATACATATTGCCCGAGAGCCCGGTCGAGTTGATGGACAGTCCGTAGTAAACGAAGGTGGTGGTGATCCACCAGATGGGGGTGGTGCACACGCGCTGCAGCAGCACAGGGGATTTGATGATTGTCTTGATAAGCCCTGGCTTGTTCGCATCTTCTACATTCTGATAAAAATTTTATTCCATGAGTTTTAACTACGTAGTTACTATGGTCAACATTTTTGTGGCAATTGATAAAGTTGTTTACCTCTGGCTGCGATGGAGGTGTTAACAACGCTCGCATTGATTTTTCGCTGATCTGCTTCTTGTTTATGCGAGCCACCTTTTCAAGAACTTTTTGGGCTTCGTCGTACTTATGCTTGGAGAGTAGCCATCGGACGCTTTCTGATAGGATCCAGTAGTACGACACAATTAGGAAGCAGGGGATGTGTAGAGCGATTATCATGTACCGCCAGTTGGGAATGCTCCACGCCACTGCGCCGAGGATTACCTGCCCCGTGGCGAACATTGAAGTCGACGTCGCGCTCGTTACCACGCGAAACTTCGGGCCCACCATTTCGGCGGCTGGATTTCAATTAAAAATTATGTCAGCTATATAAACACAACTTTATACCTTTATATATTATTGAAGTAGCCCAGGAAATCTATCTTTTAATGCTAACTAACAAACTGGAGATTTTTTT